GAGCTTATTAAGAGGTGGATTCTTAGATAAGGGCAGGGCCATGTGACTGTCTTTTCCAATCTTGCTCTGCTGCATCTGCAAACCTGATTTGATTCTGTGATTTACAATCCAATAACGCCCAACAGAACACTTTTAGGGATGCAATGGAATGGGCAGTCTCTCTTACAGCCTAGTCAGCAGCTATGTCCATTTTTCCCAAAGCCTCTCTACCCTGTCTAGAGGACCCACTAATATTGGGTCACGATGCTGTGACCTGACATGGATCTGGGAGGAGGGCAGCAGGCCTGTCAGGGAGAGGAAAAAAGTTCTACCTCCACTTAGCAGAAGTGGGGGAAAACAAGAAAAAAAAAAAAAGGCAGTATGTAGCAGAGGTAGCAAGGCTTACAAGAGGAAGATGAAATGAGTGGTTGAGAAACGTGCACACACACAAAAAATGAGTCACTACTCTTGTTGTCAGTTACATGACAGGCCAGCAAGTGAGTCTGTTCAGTCTCCTGTGACAGAGGATGGTATTGAGAAGGCTCTTTACACACTCCAGTGAGGTTGCTTTGGAAGTAACAAGAGAGAAGAGGGGATTGGAATAATGAATGAGCAGCAAGCACAGCTCTAATCTATCTCCTGCATAATTCACCAAATAATTTTCTTCTGGCAACACAAAGCTCCTACTGCAATACCATATTCAAAATAAATGAGCCTATATAGCTCTGATGGTATCAATATTAAGTCTCAAGCTCCTACTTGATCCCAAGAAACAAGTGCTCAAGTGACTAGATATTAAATTTCAAATAATTTTATCATGAACTTAATATGAAAAAGTTTTAAAAAACAAGTGGAAGTTTCTCATCCCTATTTTGTTAGGGTACAGGGTAGCGTGAATATGTGTATGGGGGGAGCGGAGAAAGAGAAAAAAAGCTGTAGAAAGGTGCACAACATGCAAATATAGCATGATGAAATTTAACCAGAAACAAAGGAATTTTAGTTTTGCCTCTCTCAGTCAAGCCAAACATCTATTTCAGGTTGAAGATCTAGATTCCGGTCACTCCTCTGGGCGTCTGTGTAGATGAGGATGGACCCTTCTCAAACATTCAATAAATATTTACTGACCACATGCTATTCCTGAGGCATTTTGCAAGGTGCAGGCCACCACAATACAACCACTCACCAGAGACCCACAAAGGAAAGCCTCCATTCTATGGTAGGTAATAATCTCCTACCTGCAGTTCTTCAGCAAAATAGCTAGATACAAACACTTTACTTATTATGGCCAGGCCATAATAAGATTTTTAGATTTTAATTATTTTAATTTTTAAGATTTTAATTATTTATTTCACAGAGAGAGACATGGAGAGAGGGAACACAAGCAGGGGGAATGGGAGAGGGAGAAGCAGGCTTCCCGCTGAGCAGGAAGCCCGATGTGGGGTTCGATCCCAGGACAGGGATCACAACGCGAGCCGACGCGAGCCGACGCGAGCCGACCCGAGCCGACCCGAGCCGAAGACAGACGCTTAACGACTGAGCCACACAGGTGCCCACTCAGGCGGCTTTTCAAGTCATCCCTATCAGAGGTAGTTCTCCAGGGAATGTGGGAACTTAAAAAAAAATAAATGCTCAGTGTGGTTGATGAAAAGGATGAGAAAGTAAGACCAAACTGTAAATGCTATCTCTATTCTTCAGGATTTTTTTTTTTTTAAGTTTATTTTTTAGGGGCGCCTGGATGGCTCAGTCGTTAAGCGTCTGCCTTCCGCTCAGGTCATGATCCCAGGGTCCTGGGATCGAGCCCCACATCAGGCTCTTTGCCCGGCGGGAAGCTTGCTTCTCCCGCTCCCCCTGCTTGTGTTCCTGCTCTGTCTCTCTGTCAAATAAATAAAATCTTAAAAAAAAAAACAAACCTAAGCATTTTAAAAAAAAAGTTTATTTTTTAGTAATCTCAACACTCGCAACTTGGGGCTTGAACTCACCACCCCGAGATTAAGAATCCCCTGCTCTTCTGATTGAGCCAACCAGGCGCAGCTATTCTTTGGGAGATTCTTTTTTATTTTTTTAAGATTTTATTTATTTATTTATCAGAGAGAGAGAGAGAGCACAAGCAGAAGGACAAGCAGGCTCCCCACTGAGCAAGGAGCCCGACGTGGGACTCGATCCCAGCGTCCCCGGATCATGATCTGAGCCAAAGCCACTTAACCAACTGAGCCACCCAGGTGTCCCTCTTTGGGAGATTCTTAGCACAAATAGCAGTAATTTATCAAGGGGCATAGTGTCAGACTCATTAAAATATGCAGAACAATTTGAAACAAAAATTTGAGAAAAAAAATACAGTCTTCAAGTCAAATACATTATATTAAATAACCAAGAATAAGATGAGCATGGGTTTGTTCTCCAAATCCTAGAATACTAGGAAGAGGGGGTTAAACCTCAATCCTTGAAAAAGGGTTTAAGGAACAGGAAAAGATGGCCACATCATACAGTGGAAAGAGCACGAGGCTTGGGAAAACGATCTGGATCTTAGTTCTAGTTCCTCCCCCAGTGAGTATGAAACCTCTGAAAAGCTGCAGGATGTTTCTAAGCCTTAGTTTACTGTCTATAAAAAAAAGGCTGGAGTTATAGCTCTTACAGTCTATGATTACTACATGAATCACTTCCAGAAACCAAGCAGATAGGATCTGAGAAATGAGAAAACCGTAGGAAAGACAATTAACTGCACCAATATTTCTTTTTTTTTTTTAAGATTTTATTTATTTATTTGACAGAGACACAGCGAGAGAGGGAACACAAGCAGGGGGAGTGGGAGAGGGAGAAGCAGGCTTCCCACAGTGCAGGGAGCCCGATGCGGGGCTCGATCCCAGAACCCTGGGATCATGACCTGAGCCGAAGGCAGTCGCTTAACCAACTGAGCCACCCAGGCGTCCCTGTACCAATATTTCTAATATGTCTTTTACTATATTCTAAGGGTGGCTTCAACTACCTTTATGGAAGGCCAAGCAAGAGAGGAACCGACAATCCTGTAGTCAATTCTACTGCTAAAAGTAGTAGGTTTTATAAAAAGAAACAAAATAGCAAGACTGCTTCTAGGGTTAAACTTTCCTAAGATCAAACATGAGATGAAAAAGATGCCTGACCTTATTAGCCAAGGAATATCATACTAGAATGCTTTCAGCTCAGTATCCCCATCCACCCTTACTCCCCGGACACTGGAGCACCATAGAAACATTCAGATAGAATTCGCACAGGTAAAGGATCCTTTCCAGTGGCTCTGACAGGGGATATATAAGTCTTCACAGTCATCTGAGGAAACTCTTTGGAACTCTGAAGATATATCCAAGTTTATATGAAATGGGTATTTATAAGCAACAAGCTATTTTCTCTTACCACTGACATGAAATTTCCATGTTGGCATATATTTGTATGAAAAGCAGAGAATCCTTTCCTAGGACAATTAAATTTTTTCTGTCCTGAATTGTGTATTTTCCTTTTTAGACATTACATTGTCTTTCTCTTTTTTCAGCCCTCATATACAGTTGCCAAGGAGGAGAGTATCGGGATCTAGGTTATTCCTAAGAGGGAAAAGTGGTTTGTGCGCCTACCCCAGGAATACTTAATACAATGACTATACTTCAAAAACTGCAACACTAAGTTCCCAAGGACTCAGTAAAGGCATTTAGACCTCTCAGTTTCATTTGCTTCAGTTAAAAACAACTTTATTTTTGTACGTGAATGTCTGACAGAGCACTCTGGTAACAATACACAAACACTATGAATAAATGGATGAATGACAAGCTAGCTACATATAAAAATATTTTATTAAAGATTAGTCAGAAATAGTACGCAGTTTTGAAAAGTAATCCAAAACACATAATACTACTTTTTCAGAGAGTAACAGATTATTTGCAATATATCCCCATCCTAGAAAGGGCATTTCTGCTCTACATAAGGGCCAAATGAACAATAGATGTCTAAGTGCCATCCTCATTACCTGAGACCTATGCGGAAAGAAGTCTCCGTTCCTGGAGTCCGAGTAGATCTGATAAAATCACCCACAGCTCTAAGTCCACATTATAAAAGCACCACATCAAGTCCTCTGTGAACACTGTATCTTAGCAGATACTAACCACTCACTCAAAGAAAAGTGAAATCACTTTTACCAAGAACACACGGTCAGGAAAAGAATGTTGTGATTCTGCCAAACTCACTTAGAAGCTGACTCAATACAGGTGTCCTCCTTTAAGCCCTACGGCTCTCATCCTTTCAAAATTACCACTCCTCCTTCCATCTCAGGCCTCCAAGGCCTGTTCTGCAACTACTCTGACACCTTCCCATACTTTGGAAGCCTCAGGCTCCACCACGCCTTATCCCTACCAGATTTCTACTCTCTTGCGGGCTCTGGCAGCGGTTTTTTTTTGGGGGGGGGGGATATGTTCACTCACACACACACGTCCATGAGCTGACAAACCAAGGCTTGGGGCCTAACCGTGTTCCCCTCAACTCTCAGAAGTGTCCTCACAAGTCGTAGATTCCCAAGAACCCGCTCCTTTCTCTAGGAACGGCTGGCTCTTGCGTTAACCCTTCAGTTTCCACAGCCCCGACTAGTGCTGGTTCCTGCGGCCCTTTCCTGTTTCTCGCTTCGGCTGTTCGGGCTCTCGGCCGCAGCTCACACACAACCTGTTTCCCGTCAGTAGAATCCTTGGAGGCTGGGAACAGACCTAAAAGACCCCCCAGGCGACCTCCGGGATCTGAGATGGAAAGGGCCCAGGGTACGCGCCCCCCCCCCCCGCCCCGACTCTGGCTCTTCACTGTCCACGCCCCAAACTCTGTCTTTACCTAGGCTCCGCGACCACCTCGGCCACCCTCCGAGCATCCCGCGCGGCGGCCCAGGCTCTCCCAGCCCCCTGCTTCCGGGCTTTCCCGGCACTTCTGCTTCCGGTGCTCGGCCTCTCCCCCGAGCCTGCCCCACTGGTCCGCGCCCCGGCCCCGGCCCTCCGCGCCGCTCGCTCCGGGACTCTCACCGCTCGAAGAGCAGCCGCACGGAGAATATGCCCGCCGCCACCGGGAACACCGAGAGGATGTGCTGCGCCCGGGGGTAGCCGTAGCCGTCGCCCGGCCCCTCAAGGTCGGCCCAGCTCACGTTCTGAGGCAGCCAGAAGCGTTCGCTCCACAGCCAGCCCCACAGCAGGCCCAGGGCTCCCGCCGCCGCTGTCGCCATCTTACGCCCGCCCCGCGGCTACCGCCGCCACAGCCTCAGCCGCCGCCACAGCCAACGGAACCCGCGAGGAGGCGGCCCCGGGGCGGGGCTGGACCGGCGGCCACCCCCTTCCGGCTCCTTCCCGTCCCCAGCAGGTCTCAGCCCGCCTCCTCCGTGGGGCCGGGCCTCTTCACCGCCCATCTCGGCTCCACACCCACCCACCTTCCTGACTGCGGCGCCCGGGGCCGCCTCTCCTTAGGACCCCGCCCCCGGCCTGGCCCCGCCCCACCCCGCCCCCATCCAGTCCCGCGGGCCTCAGCTCTGGCCCCGCCCATTTTTTGCCAAGGGTTTCGGCCACGCTTCTCCTCCTCCGCCACGGCCACACCCCTATTTCAGGCCTAGCTCCCTGAAGGAGACGCTCCTCTTTCTCAGCCCAGCCGTCCCAAAGGCTGTTCCCGCTCCCAGGCAGGCGGTACCTACGTCTCTGCTCCTAGCCCGTTACTGGGGCCTACCTCATCTCAGATGGTTCCGCCTAAACTCTTCCCACCTCTACCGTTTTTTGCTCCCAGCTTTTTCCTTACTTCGTGTCCTTCCATGATCTCAATGCCCTTTCACTGTTTTATCTCTTAAAATGGACTTTTGAAAATCCTTTTATTCTTCTCATGGGTAAAAGGAAATGGAAGATATCCAAAGGATATTATCCAAAGAAAAATACAAAGGAAAAAAAAATAAATGATGGCCAATATTTAAGGAAGCTTACTGTGCCAGGTACTGCACTGAACACTTTAACACCAGTTATTTAACTTCATCGTCCTATGAAGTAGGTATTTACTATTTTATCGATGGGTAAACTGAGGTCCAGAGAGGTTAAGCAGTTTGCTCAAGGTTATATAGAATTGTGGTAGACCTGGGCTTCTGAGCTAGAAAGTCTTTAGACCTTGGAACCCTGAGCCCTTATCTTATAAACCTCCGTAATTTTAGGTTACCACATTAAACATTTAACTGTTTTGTGGATCTACATAAACAAGAAGGGAAGCCATAGACAAGAAACCTTCAAAAAGCTAAATTCAAAATTGTCCCTCAACTGCTGGAGATTCCTGAACCCTGGGTGCGGTCTGTTTAAACCCTGCTGTGAGGTTAATTACCACAGGCTAACTAGAATGACCTGAAAAAAAGATTAAAAGGATTGAATCTCTACCTCTTGTTCAAGGACAGATAAAGTAACTTTATAACTAGTAAGGCAAGCTTACACCAGAAGTTAGAGTTTCAAGGGGAGAGGAAGAAGTGGGGGGGGGGGAAAGGGTGCCATGGGTGCCATCCTAAAGTAGACTAGGTTTGCTTTAGCTCAGTGGTTCTCAAACTTAGGGTACCACAGCTTGGATATTAGCTTGTCCCATCTCTCACATGGAGAGTTTGCTAAAAGTTTTCTGGGCCCCATCCAAAGAAATTTTGATTCAAGAGGTGAGACAGGTTGGGGCCTATGAATTTACATTTCTCATTTCTAACAAACTCATAGGCAATGCCACTGCCTCTGGTCTGAGAACCACTGCCTGGAGCCATTTATTCCTAACCCAGCAATAGCTTAATGGTAACTACCCTATATTCAAGGTACATTTTTTTTTTTTAAAGATTTTATTTATTTATTTGACAGAGAGAGAGACAGCGAGAG